GAGAATAAGGATGAAAGCTAAACAGATGCTAAGAAAGATTAAAATACTTTCCTTCGTAGTTTTTAGTAGTAATAAAGTTTAAGTTCTGATCTCTTCTGCCCCCATTGTCCTCCTGAATGTGATTTTCAATTTCATATCTTGATAAGACTGCAGCTTCAGAGAGTTGAAGCATGAGGGAGGCTGGTAGTGCTTATATTTACAGTGCATTTAACCCCGCATGCTATTAAATTGCTGCTTTTTATTATGTTATTCATCATTTGTTACAGTCCATTAACATTTGCACTGATGTGGCTTGTTGGGGAATTACTAATTAGCATCGAAAGGCTCTGTTCCAGATGCCAACTAAAGTGACTTCATCTTGGAAAAAAAAGCCAGGCTTTGGGATTACAGAAATGTTGCACGTCACAGCACAAGACTAAAGGAGCTTTGTCAGGTTCTGAACCTTGTAATGGCCATGAATAAAATAACTTTACGTATTGCATTATATGAACATTTCCAGGTCTTTCCATTGGACTACTCACAGAGATTGTCTTCTGTGAAAACACAACAAACTGGTTGATGCACATCTGTTGCTGGGTTAGCCAGGCTTAAACCTGTGCATGCTGGTTCATCTTCTGTTAACACCATCATGTGAAAAATGTTGTTTCACACTTGGAGTGCCTTTTCTCTGTGTATTCATCGTTTTCTTCCACAGTGGATTTAACAGTTGCACAAAGGTGTTCTTGGGGTGGATTATTCTTTGCACAGAGACTTAAAAGCTCAGTAGTCTTGTTGGGCTGCTTCCCTGGAGGGACAAGAACTCAGGGCAGTTGAACTGACTTAATAAAGCAGGAGAGTTAACAAGTATTATGTATTATGTTTTCCATGGATCTTCCCTTTCAGAGGGTAGATGATCTTTATACTATAATCCTTTTACAGCATAAGGTCATTTTACTTCTGCACAAAGTTGTCCTCACAGAGGTTTAATCCTCTTGTATGCGTATATCAAATACATTCTTATCATTGGACTTCTCTTTATATTTGAGCTGGTTTGCTGGTTCAGAAAACTTTTATATGTGTCACCAAATCATAGGTCTTTGCAAGATAAGGATCTTTGTCCCACTGTGACATCCATGGTATACATTAGGCTCAGAAAAATTGGCCAGTTGGCTAATAGTAATTGTGTAAAGAAGAATATATGTAATAGAAATGACAGATTTGAAAATTTTCCTTAATCCATTTAAAGGAAAAGTAGAACAAAAAGGAGAAAAAAACATTTGGCAGTTCTGGTTTGGGCAAAGTAAAAAAGCATCCTTCAGCTGTTCTCACACAGGCAGCAGTAAATGTTTGTCATCATGCAAGCTGAAGTATGAAAGAAGTGTTTTCATTTGTCAATAGCACTGAGAAATATTAGCCGGGGGTGATGAGCTGCTCAAACAAGAGAAGTTCAATTAAACACTCAGCAGACTAAAGCTTTGGAAAACATCCTTCTAAAATTTAGTGTTTACCCTCACTAATTAGTACAAAAGAGAAGATTTGTTTTGTGTGTGGTTTTATATGTTAACAAGGCATTGGATGTTTTTGCTTGTACACTTTGGAATGGTTCCCTGTGACTTTCTGAAGCCATCAGATGTGTCAGTAAATAAGTTTATTTACAAGGGACTGCTCAGAAGAATTATTCTGGATTAATGTTTTAAAATAGATTAATTAAATTGCATTAAACTTACGCGTGGAAAAGCTGATCTGGAATTCAGGTGAATTTAGTTGCTTACAAATATTAATTTACTTAATTAAACAAAGGCTAATTTATGTTAAGTGCATCAATTCTGAGTAAGACTGTTGGCAGAGATCGTTAGTGCACTTTATCTAATCTGCTTTAAATTTATACCTTTAGTTGTCTCTGTTTCTTCTGGGTGTTGCAGTACTAGAGCCACCTCCTGGCAAGCGTTTGCAGGAAGGCTCTGGGCTTTTTGCTCATCTCTTTGCCTTTGTTTCTGAATATGAAAATCCAGGAACAGGGAGGAGTGTTTGTCTTCACTTTCAACTCATAATACATAAATAGGGAAATTAACATTTTTAAGATTTGGTGGGTGATGAAATAGGTTGTATTTATTATTAGAAGGTTTAGTTTTGTTACTTCATATTGATGCTTGTTCCATCTTAGAATCTTAGGACTGTTTTCTCAGATTTTGAAAAAAAAAATCCCTTTGGGAGGTAAGAAGGACCTAATGTAGTATGTGTGCTGCATATGATAATTTCCATTATTCACTCTGATTAAAACCCGAGACAATTTTTACTTTACGCTGCTTTATACAACAGGAATGGGTTTATGGTGGCTTTATTAGGCAAGGTTTGCAAAAGTCGTGTCTGGCATGTGGAGGGGAAAGGGTGGACAGTAACAGAGCTGATACGGGAACTGGTTGCATGATGCAAGAGGTCTGAAGGGTCAGAAGCATTTGAGGTAACAGATTTGAAGGCACCCAGGGCTGAAGTGGGAATGGAGGTGGGAGGAAATCCCTCAGGTACACACCATAACCTATTCCTCAGTTTTTGCATTGTGGCAGAGTTGAAGAAGTCTCTTCCAACCCCCCAAAAATGCTCTGGGAGAAGTGATGGATGCAGTGCAGATCTAAATAGCCACCTAAATAGCTCAGCTGGAGTCAGTGTGAGTCTGGCTGGCCAGGGCCTCCTGTAGTGTACGTATGAATGAGACATTTTCCATTGTCTGGTATGAGCTGTCTTCCCATACCCCTCCCCTAGATAATGGCAAATAGACTATAAAATACTGCTCTGTTGATCCAACTTCCACATGCTGGCTGGGGGAGGAAAAGTGGGCACGTTTCGTGTCCCACTTGCAGTTTATCCTTGGCTTCCTGACTTTATGTTAATACTTCTTTCTTATAGTTTAATATTTGTTCCAGGTGATATTTCAGCATGGGTGGCTCAATGCCAATGTACATATGCTTAATTTGGAATTAATGGGGACTAGCGTTTCAGCCAGAAAAAAGAAAGCAGGGGAAAAAAGAAAAGGCTGGGAACACTTAGCAAATTTCAGAAGTGTTTTGCATGAGGAAATGCTGGTAAATGCTTCACTCAGTAAAATGTGTGGAAGCTGTATTGGCAAAGTTGTTCTGAATTTTATCAGCTTTTCAACACTGATAAGCTAACTGTTAGATTTTATTGGGCCTTTACCCATGGTTCTGAAAGCAAGGTTAGATCACTGCTAAAATTTTCTGTTATAAATTGAAATTCTGAATTTGGGAGAGGGACATTTTATACAAGTTGTGATGTCTGCTGTGGTTGCAGTACCCAGTGTAGCTTGCTTGGGCATTGCCTTCTTAATCCACACATCTAGTGTTAATAACAGAATTACTGGTTTCCACTTACATTCCAATAGAGGAGCTCTCTGCCTCTGGTGACAGCAGAAGTATATTTTGTCCTGCCTGTTGAGAAGGCAAAAACGTGTTCCATGAGGATGTTGGCTAATTGCCTGTAAGCAGTGTCTGACTTACTGAAGTTGTAATAAAATTTGTTTAAATGGAAATAAATACTAATGATAGGAAGGCGCGTTGTGTGTGTAGTAGCTGTTCTGCCATAGTTTGATTGTTATGCCTGTGTTTTAAGGCTCTGTGAGAGAATATTTTGATGGTACTTCTGACATGAGGCTGACTATTTTCAGGATATGACCCATGAGAAGTGGGGAACTTCTGTCAGAAGTGTGAAATTGTTTGTGTTGAAGAAAGGTTAAATCAATTTCAGTGATTTTTTTTTTAATTATTTTATTTAATTAAGGAATTTTGAAAGGCAGAATACGTGCATCACGTGAAATATTACACTGTGTTTAAACAAAAGCATTGCAAATCCTGTGTAATGCTTTATAAAATACTGATATATTTGTAGCTATAACTGGTTTCAACACAACACGTGAACGAGGAGTGAAATCTGGAATTGTGTAAACAGACCAAGTTTTCAAAGTCGAGCTTTGTTCTAGTTTGTACCTTTTTAGCGTTTGGGGTTGCGGCTGTCTTCCTTCAAGTTGAGGGCAGGGTTCTTAATATTACTAGCAGTATGTGACATTATGAAACAATAACTGCAGCACAGCTGTTTTATTCTGTTAAGCCTGGCTGGTTACCAGGATTTCTCAGAAATGGCAAATACAATTTACCAAAATGGCATCCATATGCACTAATGTGTTGCCAGGTTTTTTGGGCGTGAAGCCACAGGCTGTGCTGTCTCAACAGTTTTTCACCACGATCAGAATTCCAAATGACTCTCTATTGGCAGCACTGGTATTCTGAGTAAACAATTGGGATGCATGGAGAGACCCCCTTTTGAGATGGGCTTTCGCAGCGTGCAGTGGTTGCTCAAAGTTCTCCTGCAGGTTGTGTTGCTCTCTTCAAAAATTAGTATTCCACTTGCCTGGCTTAGTGGCTTTCTTGTGCTCAAGTGGAATAGGGAAAGAGGAAAATCTTTATGCATAGTTGGATTTGATTCAGTGTTGGTGTTGAGGGATGAATTACCATTTCCACTGGTAGATCTCAAATTATCCCTCTAGTGTTTTTTGCTTCAGGTTAAAAAGGAAAAAAATTGGCTGATCTCTTCTTGGTATTCATTGTCTATACTTTTGTAAACTATGAGAATGCACAGATACGAATGGTTCCAGTGCTTCAAATTCAATTGTACAGACTGAAGGTTTCTCTTAAAACACTAATGAATAACCTTGACAGAGAATTCCAAGGGAGGCAGGGCTGAGAAATATCTTGGCTTTAAAATCAGGACCATATTCTGAAAGTGGCTTTGTCAGCATTGAGCTATAGAAAACCCTGGCAAGTTCAATAACTCGAGTAGAAAAGTCAAGTTTTGCTTCAAGTCTAGTTGTAATTAGCTACGGGGAGGCTCCTTGTTCTCAGTGACTGTTTCTGAAGATTTGGGAGGCCTTTTAAGACTCGTACATGTAAGGATCTTGTGTACATACAGGTCTGCACAAAATGCATTCATTGCAAATTTAGTCTGGCTTGGGAACTTCATGTGCTTCATAAGACTCAATACTAAAGTCTGATCACTTCCAAGAGCTAAGCAATAATTTGTAAATTAAACCCCTGCTGTTTAGAAATGGTCTTGTATGCTCTTGAAACATCTAAAGCAAAAATAAATCTACAAAACAGAATGTTTTATTTTATCCTGATGAGCTGCCAAATCTCTGAAGTAAATGTTCACTTTATCTGTTGGGAAAATGTGGAAAGGTGGACCAGCAAGGAAAGCTTGAGCTCTTGTCTTGGACCCAGTATAGAAAGGTTGAGTTGGGGATGATGCACATAGTTCAGTCCTTTGCTCTTTGATGCGGATAGCGAGTAGAAAAGTAGAAGTTGATACCACTGGATGTTTGCTTGCAGGCTGGTAACTTGTGCTGGGGATTGCATCTCCTTACATAGAGCAAGAATGAAAAAAATAAAAGGAATATTAATATATAAGGTAATCTGTATTAACACACACTTGCCACTGTTTTTCAGGATTGCATGACTTGCAAAATTACCTGTGTGTGGACCTGCAGTGGTGTTTGACTGGATATTGCTGCCTGGTTCTGAATGATGTCAGAACAGGATTTGGCAGATGTTGTTCAGATTGCTGTTGAAGACCTCACTCCCGATAACCCAGGTACAGTACAGGTGCTAGTGATGGCATAAAGATATTTACAGTATTGCCCATTGACAAGGTGGAAATTGCTGTTGAGCTTAATAATATAAAGCAGTGCTGCAGGTATTTTTTGAGAGATGATTCTTAAGGCTACACAGCAGGTTTAGCTGGTATATCTTCAGTGCCCTTTAATCAGATTTTTTAAAAAATTATTTTACTTTTCTTTTACAAGGTTTATTTCCTGGGGCTTTTTTTGTGCAGGGGTAGACTAGTGCTGAAAACTTTGACTGAAATATGGCCTCCTGCAATCTTTGTTTTTCTCCAAACCAAATACACGTTTTAGGCTTTCCCTCAAATGAGAACTGTCACCCATCTATTATGATTTGTTTTATTGTAAAATAGTTTCTCTCATACATTATTCAAATTGAAAAATACTCCTGGAAGCAAATACTGTTATAGTCCTTGCTTAGAACTTGACCTACTAAGCCAAAATACTGAGATCAGCCACAGACAACTGATCCCATGTGCCATTACATGTGAGGAGGTGACTGAAAGAATAGTAACTACAGTTACAGAAAACAGAAACATGTAAAAAAACTTCTGATGTGAATCAAAAATGTTCCCAAAGTGTTGGAGGAGAAGCTGGGACCTGCCTTTTGTAGTCTACCAGGTAATTTGGTGTTAAGGAGTGTCTGCTGCGGTATGGTCAACCTTAAACAATGCTTCGTTTGGTAAAGAAGCTCAAACCTGGTCTGGTCTTGTCTTGAGTGATGCTCTCTCTGACTGTGAGGCTTTTCCAGGGCTTTACCCCTTGATTTTGCCAGCCAGGCCTTCAGGTTCTAAAGTCAGTTTTCCTTTATTACTTTTTTCTTCAAAATGCTTGTCTTTAGATGAAAGGCTGTTAGAACCTATGGGTCTGCACGTGCAAGTGGCTATTTTGGAAAGCTGGCAGGATTTTCTTCATCTACACTGGGGATAAATAACCCACTACTATGCTGAGTAGCGGATATAATTCTTTCTTTGTACAGAACTTCATTAGTACTTATGTTTTTTTATTAACATGGGGGTCAGAAGCTTGTAGAATCTGTCAAAGCAGAACAGAAAATGTGGCAATTCTGCTACTTTCTGGTCAGTTCCTAATAAAAAAATCCAAGGTAATGCTTAAGTGTTACAACCTCAGTGTGCTTGAAATAAAGTATTGGATTTAGAGAAATGTTTTTTGAGAAATGGTAAAACATTATATATTTAAGAAAGAACCCAAGTAAGTGTAAAAGAATACATACAATATGTTAAACACCTTTTATGTTAATTAAAAACCTTTTATTTTTTTATTCATTTAATGTATTTTTAAATTGTCCTCTTGTATTATAAGCTATGGCAGTGCTTATTTTTCTTTGCAGTTGTGCTGGAGAATCATGAAGTGACAGATGATGATGTAGAACCTGCTCTGAAACGCCAGCGTATAGAAATTAACTGCCAGGATCCTTCTATTAAGGTTATAATAATGCCTTTTCCTGTTTTTATTTGTAATAGAATTGAGTTAGCTTACTTAGGGGAATACATTAAGAGAAATGAATGTGAAATTAACTATTTGTTTATTATGTTATTGCATAGTACTGGAATTATAGCCTTCTTGTATATGTTTGTTCATTTTTGTACATAAATTTAAAAATCTGGATGATTGCCTAGTTCTCCAGTGTAAAATCTGTAGCAAGAATTTTACATGCAGTATAAAATGTCATCAGAATTAATTCCAGTGACTCAAATGTCACTATTGGTACATGTTTTGATAAAGTGAATAAAGTTGACCTAAAAGATCAACTTGAGAATTATTTTTATTGCAGTTTGCAGATACTTTGAGTATGTTTAAAATCATTATTTTAAGCTAACAACATTCTCCTAATAGCTAAACCAGATTTGGTTCAGGCTCAGTAGCTCAGGCTTTTCTGTGCTTGCAGAACTTCCCCTGCTTTTCTCTCTAGTGTGTTTTCGTTTTGTGGGGTTTTTGTTGTTCCTTGGAGCATATGAGTAGTATTTTACTGCCACACACGTTAAACGGTATGTAGTTCTGAAATGGTCGTAGAAACTGAAGCTCTGTATTGAAAGAGAACCAGGGAGCAGCACTGTAAACCGGCATGATGAGCTGTGCAAGTTGTAACAGTGGGCCACGAGATGGCATAGTTGCTGTTTGGGAAGGCGAATGCGGGTAATGTTACCCTTTAATGGCCTATTTTTTCCAAGATGAACCAAGTGGAATAGGCTTTCTTTTCAATAAAATTGCTTAGGAAAACAGGTTTTATTTATTTGCTTTTCTTGGTTTGCTGTTCAGGAGAGAACTTAAATGAGTGGCATTAATTGTCTCTGAGGTTATTCGTGTTGATATAATTTCCACTGTAATGATTTGAATTTATGTGCTTGGCCAGGAGAAAAGATCTTACTTAACTTTATCCAGGAGGATGCATTCATAGATTTACAATCCTTTTGTTTTTACTTGCATGGAAAGGCTTTGACATGTGTATGAAATCATACCAACAAAGTACTTAGGTGAAAATATGTTTGGCTTGGATGCTTTTGGCTTATAAGTAAAGATCTGGAAGAACTTGAGAATGCTTAAATGCTCCTGGATGTCATCAGTTTTGTATGTGGATGAATGTTGTCACTAGGCACGTTCCTAGTTCCTTTAGGATTGTTTTCCAGTCACATTTGTCTGTAGCTTCCTTATGTGTATGTTGCTGGAGATAAATGCGTAAGTCTTTAAAATCAGTTTCTTTTTCATTCTCGCTTTCTAGTCCTTCCTGTATTCCATTAATCAGACAATATGCCTGCGGTTGGATAGCATTGAGGCAAAGTTGCTGGCACTAGAGGCTACCTGTAAATCATTGGAAGAGAAGCTGGATCTTGTCATGAACAAACAGCACAGCCCCATCCAAGTCCCCATGGTGGCAGGTTCTCCTCTTGGCGCTACACAGACATGCAATAAAGTACGATGGTAAGAAAAGAACAGATTACTCATCAACATGCTTTTTAAAATAACGTAAATCCATTTCTTTGGCATCAAACTCTGCAGCTTTCTGTATAACTGTCAAGAGCTTGGAGTGCTGTTTATGAGTGTAGAGTTAATTTATCTTGAAGGTAATTTTTGTACCAGTTTCATGATGTTACTTAGAACGTACTTATGGTCCATGGACAGTTTGCAACTATTTCCACATTTCACATTTCATTTTGACTGAAGACTGGTTCATCCATCCTCTGGAAAAGTCTCATCAGCTATTTTAGACAGGTTTTTTTGACTTGCTTTACTTTTATTTATGTGGCTGTTTTGAGTTAATGAGTTCATCATTCTAATTACTTTTCATTTTCCTTTATTTCACCAGAAAGACAACAGAGTTTGTTTTATGTGCTTATTTTCTAAAGACTCTTTCTAGAATAATATCTGCTTTTGGGAGGGTTAGAAGTTGGAAGTGGAAAATCTGTTAAATAATCTAATCCACTTTGATGAAAGAGCGGGTTTGACCTGCAGTACCTTTATGTATGATGTGCTTAATATGGTTTTAAATATCTGAATCTAAATGTGCCTGTCATTTTACTGTGGAGATGACTCCAGCAAGAGAAATATGCTTATCAAAAGTCTCTTTTGTCTAACAACTTTTTCCTCCTCATTCATACTTTTATAGTTAGAAAAACCTCAATACTTCTCTAAATAATTACTTTTTATTCTCCATTACAAAGGTGTATAGGCAACTTGCATATGTCATAGCATTCTAGTCAAGATATGCTAAATTCATCTTTTGTCAGTCTGCTTTTTCATCTTCTGATCTTTATCGCTGTCTTTGAGCTGTTTCAGTGTCTGAAGATTATTTTGTATGTATTTTTGGTATGTTATACTTGGCACAGTGTTTTAGTGCACTACTCTAGAGCTCTATAGAAAATTCAGTTCCTTGCTTTATGTTGTGGGGCTCACCCATGTGATGTAAGGGGAAAAAACCCAGACCACCACAAACATGACCCTTTTTTGGACCCATTTCCTCCTAGGTTCCTTACTGTCTTATTATTTTTTCTTTCAGTATTGCTATTTTTATAGTTGGTATATTAAGTTAAAAAATTTATCTCAAGGTTGTAATTGCATTTTATTATTATATCTTTCAGTTCAAGCATTTATGAAGCAGGGTGAAGTGTAACTGTGCTACTGTAAGGGTTCAGAGTTGGAGGTTTTTACCTGAGAGAGATACATTCTGCTCAGGTACCCGTACCTGCTGCATAATGCCGACTGTTACTTCATGGTTGCTAACTAAGTGTGATTACTGATGAATGGAGTCTAATCTCTTTAAAAAATACCTTATTTGTATTTAAAAATCTAAAATAATACACAACCAATGTGTTTCTTGATGTCTGTATTAAAAGTTCATATATCCTTTTTATTTTCAGTGTAAATTGGAGTAATCTCTGCTCCTCCTGCTGAAGCAGTCACCTTTCCAGTCAGGAACAGCTGATATCCTCAGTCTTTTCCAAAACAACTTTCCTTTTCAGATGTTGAAATGCAGTGTTTGGGCCCCAGTTCAGAATTTCTTCACTTGTCTTTGTTCTTGTGCTGGTGGTGAACACTCTGACCATGGGACGTCTTCCTTTTCCCTTTTTCCATTTAATTTTTCTTTAAAGTAGGTGCTGCGTCTACATCTACCTATGCTTTTGAAGGCTGCCCAGTTACGTGTTGAAAAGGTTAATTCTGGTTAAGTTGTGTATCAAAAGAGATAAGGTATGTGTAGTAACTGTTTGGATCATAGTTCAAGTAACTAGAGTAAACACAACTTTTTCCTAATAGTCTTTATCAATAATTATTTCTCAAGCAGCGTTCCTTAGATTTGTTGCTAAATTTTTATTTGTCTTTATGTTAGAGATCTTCGAGTTCTTGTGCAGAAGCTGAATTTAACTGTGGTTTGTGCGCAGAAGACTTCAAAACACTTTCAGAAATGCATGGTCCCTTTGGGAGTCTGTTAATTCATGTTCAGTGAATGCTTTCCTCTGTAAATTGTACTGTTTTGTGTTTCTCATGGGATTTGCCAGACCCGAGGTGGTTTGTTTTTAATCTCTGTAACCATCAGAAGTGTGTCCTGTGTGTTAATGGTGAGCTTGGTGTTTAATCTGTTGTGTTGGGTGTACAGATTTATGACGATGGCTTCTCAGACAGTCTGAACATGATTTAGATAGAAGTATTGAAGACTGTAAGATTCTCTGCCCCAAATATTTGTTAGTGTTGGTATGAAGCTGCACATTATCAAATACATCTTGCCAACAAAGCACTGAGGGCTTTTTTGTTCTTTTAGCAGTCTGTGGCCTATATGACTCAAAAGAAAATAGCTAGGGGCGTATGTGTTTAACTTGGCATTAGTAGCCCTTCAGTTTCACAGTGATGGTGTTTCACTGATTTCCCTGTCTCTCATTCATGAAAACCTTTATCACTTGTTGATTATTTCCAATTAATGCCTGCATGGTCTGTTCTGTTGTATCAACTGTCTGTGTAGTTCCCTCTTCCCCTTACATCGCAGATGGCAGTGGAGAGCTGCCAACAAGAGTCAGTATTTTGGATACTGATTTGCAGATGCTGCATCTGAATGAGATTCTTCAATCTTATTTTTCTCATTCTGCCGCTACAGTAATACTGGGTTTGGTGCTCCAGCAAAAACGTTCAACCAGGTGGTGCTAAACTGCCAGTGAAGCAAACTCATTCTCTTCTTCAGTAAATACCTTAGGGTTTGTTATCTTTTCCACTCTGTAGTGAATTTTGGTTGTAATACTCTTGGTAATTATTTGCGTTTATTTAGTGCAGCTTTAACACAATCAAAATTTGTTTTACGGTAGTGCACACACTGAAGTGTATGAACTGTGCATTTTAAATTCACACAGTTTGATTGCTTTGTGCTATTTGTGCTTTTTAAAATCAAATTGCTTTTCCTAAGACTTGTCTTTGTTTTCATCTCATGGTGAGCTAAGCATATTTCAAACTGACAGCTTGGACAGAGACGCTTTCCCCTGCGTCATCTTGTGGTGGGATTGTGTAGTTACAGCATACCGTGTGAATTCACAGCTACGTACTATGGCCTGCCTTGGCTTGATCTGGGATTTCATGCTGTTTGCAGCACTGTGCACTGGCTTCTCACAAGATGGAGCGTTAATCTGTACATATAGCTGCTCTATGGAGGTAGGAGTCTCATTTTGCAGCGGTTATCGGGCTTACATTGAATGATAAGTTGTCTCTTCAGTAAACCTAACACATTGATCTATCGGGATAACTCCTACCTGCTTTCTGCCAAACTGTCGTTTCCAGCATTTGAGAATTCTTATTAGGGATATGAAATAGAAGGTTTTAAGAAGATTTGCAGTAAGTCAGGAACCACTCCATGTTACTAGCTCCCAGGACAGAAATGTAATGCTTGTTAGCGTCTTGTTCTGCTTTCTGTCTCCTTATTAAATACATGAGAAGTGATATGTGTGGAAATTTTCCAACATCCTTTTCTGGATATGTGATTTTTTGAAGGCTCGCTGATGTTTCTGAAAACTACAAAATGCTGAATTCAGAAATTAGTTCTGTCTACTGCTTTTGATATTTTGCATAAGTACATCTTCATGAAGGCTGAATTGTTCTCAGTTCTTCTGTTCATGTTGTTTACCCTGATCTGCTGTTGCAGTACTTCATTATATACTAGCTAATTGCAGTGGAGATAAGGAAGAAAGTACAGGTTATGTAGAACTGTGTAATTAATGATTTGTATGAATGGTTGAGATACAGGAGAACAATAGGTTAACTTCTGGATCTCCAAGTATGCTGCAAGTAAGAACTTTACAGCAAAAACTAACAGGAGAACTTCTTTTGAAAGAAAGTAATTCCAAATCTGTGAGAATTAAACTGGTTTGGGGGAAACAGCAATAGGCCGTAAAGAATATGGAGTAACATGTAGCTGTTGAATCTCAATAAATCATCGCAGGAAAAGCAGAACTAAACAAGTACAGTTTTGTATAGGTTTTTTGTCCTATATCCTCTGCCTTTAGACTGCGCAAGCCTTGTGTTTCCTATGTGGTCCATGATGCTTTCTGCTATGAGGTTTTGAAATCTTCCGTGCTATTCCCATGATAGTAGCATCCGTGACTGCTGAAGATAGCTGCTGCGGGCTTGTCCTTAGCCTGGCCACAGACTTTAATAGGTGTTTAGTGTCTCTCCAACACTTTCTTTCTGTCAGATTCGGTCATAAGAGAGTAAAGTGTTATTTAGGATTGGAGATGTTAAATCTTACTTTCCTGGGGAGGCAGGGAAAGGGGTGGAAATGAGTTTTAGGAAGAATTTTCTCAGTGTTCAGTGGCTGCTGCTTAAAACCACAGAGTTGTTGGGATTACCTGCAGAGACACAGTGATAATAAAGTTTCTAAAAATTTCTTTTTTGTAGGAAAGGCTGTCAAATGGTTTCAGAACTAGTAAAATAGGTGGCAAAAATCTTCAGATTGCACAGAGTTATGCTGAACTATACGGAGTTTGAAAAGAGCCAAGAACCAGTAGCAAAATAATGTAATAAATCAGTAACGGGAGTATGTATATTGTCCCAGTGTTCTGAGCTTTGTCCGGCTTTGTGCAGCATTAGTACAGCCCTGGTTTTCCATCCAGGAAGTGATTGACTCTCTTCCTCTGTCTGCAACATTTCCTGGCAGTATGGCTATTAAACCCCTCTTAATTTCTTTTCTTTATGAGGTACCATGCTGGTCAAAAATTCCAGTAGCTGCTGAAAGCTTCTTGGATAGGAGAGCTGGTGCAATGCCTGATGGCTTGTCTGTATTGCAGCTTCAGATGATGTTTGAAATCTAGCATGTGCCCAGGTCTTGAGACTTAGAAATTGATGAATGCACAGTGTGAAAGTGTGACTCAAATCTTTTATCCATGTTTTGAAGAAAATACTTAATCTGAAAGATTTCAGCCTAGGAACAGTGTTATTTTTGTCAGTGTCTT